AAGAAGTCACTCTACCAGAGACGGAAACATGCATGCGAGTTCTGCCCCCCCACCCGCCACAGCCAAGGCCGGTTGGCCACCCGTCGGGTATGAAGCAGACACCTGCAACAGCCAAACAGCTCCCCAGGGTTGCATAACGACTGCATTGTGTTCCAACGCAAAGTGGAAGTTTCCGGTAGAAAGAAAAAAAAAACAGCGGCTGCAGCATCACACACACACACACACACACACACACACACACACACACACACACACAAAAAGTTTTATGCTCCCTACACTTTGACAAAGCAAAAAACGCACAGAGGTGAATTACATCTACAGTCGCGTGCCCAAAGGACCATGAAAATATTCAACACTTAATTTTATGAAGTCTTTACTCCATCTTTATAGCACACATAAATCACAGAGCCAGTCCAGAAGCTAGAAAGGACTGTAAACAGGACCCCCCCCCCCTCAGCGGTGCCAGGACTATGAGTACATCATCATCCGTGGGATCTTCCCATAGACACATGAAAACGTCCACCGGAGAGTAGTTATGTCAGAGAACCTGGTCTCCTCAGGGGGCTACAAAACATAACCTTTTACAGTCAATCTGTCCTCATGCTGTTGGGGGGGGGGGTATTTTCTACTCCCAGCACACTCTACTTGGACCCACACCCTACACAGCGAAACAATGCACCAGACCAATGCGGTTTGTTCCTGTATACATTACAAAACAAGCCCATACCTCTCTGACTGTCTGATTTCTTTTTAAGCTGTTTTATATCTCCGCTGTGCTGTAACGCTGAATCTGGAACTCAGACACGCTGTGGAGCACGTAACACCGAGGCAGCGGCCAGCCGGAGACAGAGCGAAGCGCAGAGACACATGACCACGTGCCCAACTAGGCAAAGCTCCATCAACCGCGTGTCAGTGTGTGTGCGCAGGGAGAGCGAGAGCCTCAGGCACACGGTGATGCTGCACACTGTCCACCACCCCCCCCTCTCCGCTGCTACAAAGCCCCCTTACCGCCACACCACCTCAGAACAATGCCACAATGGGGCATTCCCCTCCATTGTTATTCTCACGCACCCTGAACCCGAGCACGCACCCCGGGACGAGACCACAGTCCAGACACACACAGACAGCTGGACACCTGCATCTGGAGGGAAACAGCCTGGGGGTTAGGGTCTACTCCCCCTGACAAAGATCACATTGTTTTTCTGGCAAGTCACCCCCACCTTCCCAAAACACAAACTTATTTTGCATAATCTGGAGCAGAATGCAACAAGAGCCTGTCATCATACTTGAAAGCAAGGGTCAGACAAGGCAGCCGACATCACCATGACTACATTAATCAGTATTTTAATTACTTGATAAGCTGTGTATACATAAAGCATATATACACAGTCGCAAGTCCCTGTGTAACACAGATTTCAATTTCTAAGGTTTCCTACTTAACTCAGGAACAATTCACACAAGTTAAAACTTGTAACTGGAAAACAGTCATTTAAAAAGTGACATGAAAATGTTGCAAGGTTATTTCAAAACAAATTGAGCATCAGAAACATGCTAACTTGTATTTATAACAGAACCTAGAGGTTAAGGTAGATTAACAGAGTACATGTCAATTGTATACATACTATTTGTGTAGGAAAGCCGTATTAGGGCACTCCCTGGCTTCTCGGCAAACTTCGACCAAATACTTAGGTCAATATCTATTGATTATTCCAGACCTCCTGATGTTTTCATGATGAATATTTCACAAGTAGGCTAATAAATTGTGTGGCACATCATCAGGGGCACACGTGCATTTCCTCATTTTCAAAACACCACTCATTAGATCTATAACTTTTTTGGGGGGGAAAATCAAGTAATGTTTTGTCCACAGTTTGCTTTAAATGTCCAAACATTAAACAAACAGGTATCGATGGCGCTGAGCGGACCTACGCTTTTTCGATCCTGCAGCCCATCCGCAAGCGTATAAATTACGAGCAAAATTAATTTCTTTAGTTTCAAACTACTTTTACCGATCGTCACAAACTAACTTCATACAAGCGCACGCCTATAAGATGAATAGGAAAGTACAATCGCGCGAACCACAAGCTGCCAAATAGTTAAGTCAGGCTAGTAAATCAGGCTACTTATTTGTCGATCTCGGGTCACATTTCTATTTTATTCAGCCCACCGCGTTACCCAAACACCCACATCATTCAACACTGTTGCACAAACTGGGTAGAAGCCGCGTAGGCTACTAAATGGCCAGCTAGCCAGTTAGCTAGTCTCCTTACCTAGGGTTTCACACGACAGGAGCGGAAAAAGTATGGAGTAGATTAAAAGGGATCCAAGGAGTTTTCCGATCGCGGACATCTCCAGCTTCTGTCCACCGTAAAACAGCGATGAGATGTGGCAAAGCCTCCCGAGGGGGGTCTTCACCAAAGCATTTCCTCACCGGTGGTCTTTCTCTCCTTTCCCAGACGCGCCTATGCGCCGTTCTTCGCTCAGCACGAAGCCCCTGAATGGAAGCGCTGGATCTGCGCTGGATCTGCACCGCATGCGGCACCCAGCGGCCGCCGGACCTGTTTGACGGCTTTTTGCAGAAAAAAAACACGGGGAGAAATGTTTGTCAGACATTATCTCCGTCGATTTTATTTATATTTAATTCATAACTAAGAGCAGGGGTGTCGTTAAATATATTGGGCCACATGAAAGCATATCATATCGGGGCCCCAACCCAGACCAATATTATGTTCCAAATTTTTTACGGCCCCTGTCCTTCAGGGGCCCTTGGAATCGTCCTAATTTACCCCCTCCCTCTACGGTGCCCCTGACTGAGAGATTTCTTATGCCCACTGATTGAAGCAGAGAGGCTATATATGTCTATGGGTTAAAGCACTCGGCCAAGTTAGGATACCTAAGAGGACCATTTTACAGTTTGCTCTCAGGAACCACTAAGGATCTACAAAATAGAGTAATTCACCCGCCTTAGGCAAAACTTTTAGGCAAAAGTTATTATTATTTTTGCTACCATAAGCACCTTTATGCAAAATATGCCCAATATGATCAAGCCTAATTACATCTAAATAGCACAAGCAAAAATTCTCATGTAAATACTTACGTTTTATTATGTTAAATAATTTCACAGTTAATAAATTTGCTTTGCTATTTTAAACCACGAGCTTGTTTTGGTTTAGACCTTCTAGTTTTCATGAAACATCTGTATATAAATAGAGAGTGTAACGATTGGGAAAACAATGGATGAGCATACCGTACGTATTTATGTCATGCTAGCGCCCTCTACAGATATAAGAGATACGCAAGCATGCATGTTCGCAAACTGTCTTCACTAGACATCTTTGCCAAGAATAAATCCCAGGGGAGACAGTAATATAACATCACATCATGCGTTCATTTACTAGCCTATATATAGTTAATCTCTTTTTTTTTTTCATTGACATGACTGATTGACATCAAAAGATCTATATTATGAATATGGCGCCCTTCTTGTAAAATAACTGACAGCTGTAATATAACGTACCAAGGGGGCACAAACTTTCTCTGTTCAAATCCTTAACATAAAGAATGGGGGTATATATAACATACATCAGTTATTGGGCAAAAGCGACATAAATGGATAAGTTCCTTGTATTGCACTTTTAATAAAAACGTTTCAGCAGAAACACCTCAATACGCATCCGTTTCCAAAAATAGACAAAACTGTAAAATTATCAACCTATAGATTTTAGTTTATGTTTTAAGTTTATAGTTTAAACTATAGTTTCTTGAAAATGTTGTAGCTGAGTTTTTAAACATTTCAAGATTTCACCTTACAAAACAGCATATTATAACTTTCATGCCTAATATTACATAGCACAATTTAAATGAGAGACAACTTTAGAAAAAAAGGCTTTCGGAAATAACATTTTATTGTGAAATGGAGAACTGAAAAAGAGTCATTTGAGAAAATACAGTGGACCCTCGATTTACGACTGGACTGACATACGAACAACTTGGGTTACGACCAAAATTTTAGTTTTGACTTACAACCAAAGTCCTGAGTTACGACCCGAATGACGGTCGAGGCCGAAACGTGCATCCGCTTGTGTGGCTGTAAACAAAGAGCCGAGATACCCGAGAGGCGTCCGTAAGCGTCAGTCTGAGCCCAGATACGCCTGTTTGTGGGCGTCATTTCGGTCAGTGCAGTATTTTATATAATTAATTTCGCTCATTACTATCAAACTGGCCCCAAAAAAACTCTAGAAAAGAAGCTAAGGAAGGAAGAGAAGGTAAAGAAACCAATCACAATCGAAAAGAAGGAAATTGTGCAGAAATATGAGTGGAGTTCGTGTGACCGATCTCGCTAGTATGTTCAGCATGTCGAAATCCACCATCTCTACAATCTTACAAAGAAAGGATTTGTATAAGGAAGCTCAGTCAAGGGTCCACTGTATTTTGATACCTGTGGTTTTTGCGTGAAAAGGGGCAATTAATTTAATTACCAGTAGAGGGCAATGTTGATTGCAGAATCGTGCTGTTACCTTTCGGAATTAACTGTAAGGTCTTGTGACGGACTGACATGCTGTTCATCGCGTATTTCTTCAGGCTCACCACAGTTCTGCACCGAAAAGTGGATGGATGGATGGATGGATGGTTGGATGGATGGATGGATGGATTAAAAAAAAAATACTCTGGCCAGGCAAGTACATATTAATCAAGATTATCAAGTCATTCTTCCTTAAATAAGAATAACTCACCCATCTTCCATTTTATCATCACAGGCTCCTATCATAAGCAGCACAGGACACAAGGCATATCCATCTCATGTACAATCACATACTATGCACAATTTAGAAACACCAGCTGTCTTTGGACAGAAAGCAGAGAGAGAGAATGTGGAAACTACACACACACAGCAAGAGTGGGTGTGGAACCCTGCCAGATGAGTGAGCCAAAACTGGTACCCAGTGAGCCAGCATGCAAGCCCTAATGGGGAGCAAATAATTAAAACATAAATGTTAACATAGTGGTAAATGCCAAGGGAAACATCTGGGTTTAAACAGTTTGAGTGAATTTACTGAGAAATGCAGTAAAGCCTTATGCATATGAACAATTTGGAAAACGGATGAATTAGCAATGGACCAATATTAAGGAATACTGTGTTGCATATGATTAATTTAACCTCTATTATTTAGTCACATTCAGTATTCTGTTATACAATGAATTTGCTCAGCATTTTCCTAAGCCCCAAGTCTCATGAGGTAATGTGATATCGTGGTCAACAAACAGTACTTGAGACTGGTAGATGTTATTAAAAGAAACAAGGTTATATTTGTGAGTTCAGCCCACTGCACAAGACAGACCCTTCACGCGGCCTCATACTCTCCAACCATTCGAGAGAACACGACTAGTTTTAAATTCTGCTGCTTCCCATCATCATGCATTCCTCAGATAAACAAGCTTGTCATAAAGCGGGTTCCAACATGAGCACACGTTCATTAATTCATTCAGGAGTGAATTGTCCACACATGGCATCACCGTTGAAGATAACACCATATAGGTTCCAACAAATAAAGTAAATCAGTCCAGTTATTTTTCATATTGAACAAAATAATCATTAAATTTCAATCTAACTTTCATGGTCAGCCAGTCCGTTTCATGATGACAATGAACAATGTGCTCTCTCCAAGGTGACACAGCTAATGCAACCAAGGCTACAGACGTAAATCAATATCCTATTTCCAGACAATGTTAAACTACTTTCTATGAGAGAGAAGGTAGATGAAAGCCCTTTATATTGGTTCATCTCAGGGTTTTTTTTATTACCTGTAACATAAAAGGTAATCACAGCATTGCAAAGTACACTCTCCTTTCACAATACCATTTAGTTTGTGATTATGCGTGGGGTAATCTTAATTAAATGTACACACTGTGGCAGTCCAGTCGTGTCTTCCTGCTGCGAAGGCTCAACATTTTCAGATGAATTTAAGCAAATCTCACCCTTTCTTTTGTCCATTTTCGCCTAACCGCTGCAAACACCAAAATCACAAGGTTAAAGAAATCATTTCAAATTTAATTAAAAAAAAAAAAAAATTGATTAGTTGGGCAAAAGGACACTCTACTGGAATCCTTCCCAGTTACTCGAAATATGTTTGATGCATAAAAACAACCCAGAATACAGATTAATTAAACTGATTGCAAACAAAAAAATCCCATTTACCTGGTAATTTAATTTACGTTTAGCCAAACAGTAAAATAAACATAAACTACTGAAATTGCCATTGTACAGTATATACTTACATCCGGACGGAACATTTTAGATGTACACTCACGAACGAGAGAGTTGGCTGGCTCTCATTGAACAGACGATAACAGAATATATAATGAATTTATGCCTGTAGTTACAAAATTTACAGTGGATCAATATGCTGTAGTAATTAATTCCACTAGGTGATGCTGTTCCTTTTTCATTGAATTTAAGTATGTGAGCAAATAGCTGAATCAAACCAGGCGATCGCTTCATTTTAAAGAAGGTTTTTTTCGGCCTGAGACCCCCATTGTCATCCCATGCTACAGAGACATCCTTCAAAAGACAGACAGCAAGATATTCAATAGTTAAAACACAATGGGAGAGAACGACCTGGGAAATATTGTGGCACCAATCTCCAGGACAACACTCAAAATCCATCAAGTTGGGGACTCTTAAGAAGAACACCGTTTTGATCAGATCTGATGTACAATCGCTTTATAAATCTGTAACACAATCAGAAAGGTCAGAAAAGAAAGGACGTATATTATGCATAAATGCGCAATATGTTTTGAATTAATCATTAAAATTTGACGAGAAACTAAAGAGCTAAATAATTGATGATGAATGATTATAATTATTAGATTATAACTGATTTAAGGTTAGGCACAGTCATGCAAATGATTAAAGATGTGCCTATACAGACATTTAAAAGTTAAATGTATCGGCGTAATATTCAAATTACTGATATACAATATAACAATATAATATAACAATATCATCTGATGTATTAATATTTCTAGTTCAAAATACAAAATAGCTTGTGCTATTTAAAAACTCAAGTATTAATGGTCTACATCACCTTTATAATGTACAGTGTTACTGTATAAAACCCTGTTTTCAAAGGGTCATCTAACTTTATAATGAACTTCCTATAGGCCTATATTATAGAAGTACATGGGCTTTTTGGCTGTTGTGCAGTTCCAGCAGGTATTCCGTAGTGTTTTACGAAGACAGTGACTCATGAGAAGCATTAACTCCAGCTCACGATAATCAGTAATTTCTCTGAAAAACTGCCTCACCCGATATTTAAATCTTACGGCAATTAATTCATCTTGTAAAAAAAGGGAAATAATTTTCGCTCTTTCACAGTAGTGTGGGATAGCAAGTCTTGTGTTCAAAAAAATAAAAACCTGATTGTCTGAAAGCATGCGTGCATAACTGGACCGGCCTGTTCGCTTTATGTGCTCTTTGGAATTTAGTCCATTTAATTCCATCTTCATTGTGTTTCTGCACATCGCGTCTACAATGACTGACTGCGCTATGAGCAAGGAAATGC